AAACTTGGCACATTTCATCACTTTGAGTATGAAATGTCCCAATTTTCCTTGTGTTCAATTAACGTCCGATTGAACACACCAAAACACAAGCAAATTCTTATATTGCACAATTTTAGTTTCAACTTTTATTTACTCATTTTAGATTACCAACCATTCTTTAACCAATTAAGTGCATTGGTGAGTAAGTCCTCTAAAAGTGAAGGAAGTGTCAAACAAGGGGTAGTTTAAAGCAAGAGAGAGGTATCATGCCGTTGGTAATGAACCCCCAAAAGAGGATTAAACCATTAAGCATGAACTTCAATCTCAAGCTTAAACTATCCTAAGGTTGAAACAACCCTCAAAGCAAGTGAAAAAGTCAAGAAATGAGGGAGGCTGTAGAGATTAATAGTGCTAAAATTAAGTGAGAAAAGCACTAAAACATGGCAATCAACTCAAACAGGTGGTGTCTAAAGCCTAAAACATCAAGCTTGTGAGGACACTTACACTGCAAGCATGCAAAACAAGACTCAAATGCACTAAACAACCAAAAACAGAGGAAAAACAGTCTTAAACAGAGCCTAAAACATGCTGAAATTAAGCTATAAAAGGCAAGAAAATTAAGCTAACATATATAGCTAACTCGGCTAGCAAACAAGACACAAGGAGGGGAGGCTAACCCCTCTAAATTTGGACCTCGAAACATGATTTTTACCACTGAAATGAGTTTGAAATTCAGTGTTTATAGGCAAAAAAAAAGAAGATGATTTGAAAGTAGGAAACAAAGGTGGAAAGGCCTTTTAAACAAGGAACAAAGAAGGGTGAACAACCCTCTAACCTTAAATAGCCTAAAATCACCAATTTCAGCCCACAAAAATAGAGTTTTTATAACCCAAAAACAACCCAAAAGCAGTAGGAAAAAAGATAGAAAAACAAGTATTCAAAGCAAGGTGAAAAGGAAAGTATTATACCTCTTGAAGTAAAGATCAACTTTAGGCAACAATTGAAGCCAAAACCACCTTCAAGAGCTCCAAGAAGACCTCAAGGAACCTCAACTCAAAGGTGATCAATTTTGGTTAAGGAGGTGTAGGCAAAAGTGTAGTGTGTGTAGGCAAGTACGCACAAATTTGCAAGAGAGAGAGAGAGAGAGAGAGAGAGGGAGAGATTTTTGTTCCAAAAATTCTAACCCCCAATAATGGGGGAGAAGACCCCCTATATATAGAAAACAAGAATTGCATAAAAGGAGATCCAGCCTTACACGTGGGTGTAGATGCATGCATCTGTGCAAACAGCTGGTACAGTTGGCATGAAATATCTACAAAACACACTGGTGGCCGTTAGCCAATACTGGTGGCCGACTTGCCACACCAATGGTCGACAACTAGGAGACATGGCCGATAGCCCATGGTGGTGGCCGACAGGTCACCAAATGGTTTAGGCTTGAAACACCAAGGTTTGGTCCAAATCAAAGCCCAGAATAGACAAGATTTAAAGGCTCATAGACAGGGCATTCCGCCGAGGATTTCGGGCACTAAAATGAGCGCTCACAGTCAAATTCATCGAGTGCACAAGCGATGACGTCCAAGTCTTAAGGACGGTCAAAAATGGGGTGTCTACTGTGACGTCCCAAATTTTGATAATATAATACAATGATACATCGGGGTTTAACTAGTGAATACACCTCATTTTAAGAACAAAATACAAATAATTACACTAAAATAAAATAGTAATAAAAACTCCTCAAGTCTTTGAGTACAAATCAGTTCATTGATACAAAAAGATTATCTAAAATACAGGAAATATGAAATCTAATCTCTAAGGCAGCGTGGTTATGCGAAGCTTTTAGGGATTCCATTCTCGGTGTAAAACTCGCATTCACCTGGCATAAAACGCCATGAGCTTGGAATGCCCAGTAAACACACACACCCTGACCCTTTTCCCATTCAAAATACACAAGAACATAACGGCATGATCATAACATACAATGAAAGCAATAATTATGCAGAGCTTATAATTAAATTTCAGTTCTCATGAATAATAGTCAATTTTAGTTAGTTCTAGGCAACTCCTCGCAGAATGCCGTTCCTACCCAACCACTAACACTGGCCACGGGCAATTCTGACTCCCCCTTGGTTAATACAATACCAATGCGTCGCTTACCGCATAACCACCAGTGCGTCGCTTACCATACAATTATCAATGATGCCCACACACTTAGGTTACATACCCGAGTGGTGACATCATGGTCTACCCCAAGAGAACGGTCTTCCAGGGATACTTTCCCTGTGTGAGACCCTCACTGCCACCCTTATGCCTCCCATTTCTGTTAAGCAGCCAGAATACCTCCAGTGCCATATTAGGGTTCGAAAACACGCTTGCGTAAGACTTCACCAAAATAGAACACATTCCATTATATCATACTCTTGAATCCATCGTTCATTATCTCATAAAATTTAATACAACGATCGCAACCCATTACCATCCCATTTGATTTCCCTTTATTAAGTGCATTATGTTCTTAGTTATAACAAACCATGGTCAATATAATTATGAATCCAAACTAAACAACAAGTAATTTATTCATGGTAAGGCAAATTTACAATTTATCATAGATTACATGTCAAGACTAAGACATTCAAGAAACATAGAATATAAGAGTTGCAAATCAAATAAGAGCATATTAACACAAATTTCCAGATTTCCAGATTTGAACCAGTTTGAAAATAACTATGCAAAAAATAGTTTTATTGGCCCTAAGGACCTGGCCTCATGTGAGTTTGTAGATAAATAAGTCTAGTTTCAAACACAATTTACGAAAATAGGATAGGTATTTTATATTTAAAGATAATTCAGAATTACCAAGATCTATCCAGATTCGTTGACTGTTACGCAAATCAATTTTTCTCTCAAACCCCTCACTCTCTTGAGTTCAAACAAATTTTAGTTGAAATACAACACCCAGATTAAGATTTTGACATAAAATGGCACTCAAGATTATTTTTCTGGAATTTTCAAAAAATAGATAAAGTTGACTATTTTTCTGGTTCAGTGAGTAACAAACTTAGAAAAATTGTTTAGGTTATAAAAATACATCCTTAGGTCCTACCAAAATTATCACATACTCTAGACATACCAAATATTACACCATAAAAACAGATTTTGAGTTTATGGAGTTTTGATAGGAAAATAAATTCAAGAGGGGGAAAAGATTTGCTGTTGGAAATTTAAGAAAGAAAGAGAAGCACATAATTTCTTGATTAATACATATTTATATAAGAGTGTAGGCCTAGACTACAACATATATATACCAAGAGCATGTATTAGGAGGGGAAAAACAAGTGGTAAAAGAGCTTGAGAGAAGAGGTGATGTATGCTTACCTTTGTTGTACAAGACTCAACACAATTCTTCCTTTCCTTCTTCTCCTCTCTCTATCTCTCCCTCTTTTGTTTTCTTCTTCAAGATCACTCTCTCTCACTCCTCTAGTGAAAGGCTGAAAAATGCGTAAAATGAGGGGGGAGAAGTGTGCATATATATAGAGAAGGATTGGAAGATTTCTTAGGGGCCAAGTTTTATAAGTGCAAACTGTCAAAGTTGCCATTATGGCCATTTTCATCCATCACATGGTCAACAACTTGGTTTCCAAGACATATAGATATACATACATACATACATACATACATATATATATATATATATATATATATATAAGATATTCGTATAATATATTTGTATTTATAAACATAATATAATCGGCACAAGTACATTAATTAATAAAATATTACAATTAGGGGTTGGAATGAAATAAAATAAAATTATATAGGGACCAAGTCTAAATTTATGAAACCTTGATATTTAGCATACAATATACTAGCCTTAGAAAATAGTTAAAATAATAAATTTGGATCCTGTTAAATTAAAGCGCAAACAAAGGCGAGAAACCGAACAAAAACGGCGTTACTGGTAATTAAGATTTTAAAGTGATGAATCTATAATTATAGGGTCTAATAATTAATAATATGATTTTAAAGGTTATTATTAATCTACCGGGATAGATTAGGGTTTACTCGAATTAATCTGTGATGCTTCCCGATTCGAGGGTTTAAAACACAATTAAGCGAAAATTCAAGGGCTTTATTGAAATAAACTCAAGGTTAGGGATTTAACGGTAATTACAAAAATTAGGGTCTCTACATCTACAGTGGTTTACCCTCCTAACGTTTGGAACTGATCACATAACCCCCTTGTGATTTGTGGATTGAAGTACACCGTTAGGTCCATTAATGATTTAATGAAAATACTAAAATATCCTTATATTTTCATCATTTGGTTGGAAGGCAAAGTGTACTTTAACCTTTAGTGCTTTATTCCATGTGTGATTTTTCCTTTAAAATTTGAAAATGAACATATAATCCCTTATGTCTGCCACGTGTTTCACATTTGCTGTTAAGTTGGACGAAAAGTTTGACAGTGTTTGATGGTGCACTTTAGTTCGCAAACCACAAGGGGTTATGTGGTTATTTTCAAATGTTAGAGGGATAAACCGTACATGACTCAAACCACAGAGGGATAAAATGAAGTTTGCCCTTTTAAGTATTAGAGGGTAATCAAGTAATTCAATCCTTAATGTTAATATTGTTAAAAGTGAAACTTTGACGAAAGATATTTGTAATTTCTCAAACTAACGGAGAAAAAATTTGTGTTTTAGACAAACCTCAAAGGGTATAAATGTAATTTACCCATTTCTTATTAGAATCTTCCCCTGATCACTAAAAAAAATAAAAATTAAAAAATTCTAATTCCCAAAACATTTACACTCTAATTTCTTAGCGCGCGGATCCTCTAGAGTAACCCTCTATAGTGATCTCCTAAAGTGGATGATCGGACGGATCAGAATACTCCTCACAAAACGACGTCGTTTATCTATCAACTCTCTACGACGTCGTTTAGCTTTGTTCTCATTCCTCCATTTGTATCCTCTTTGTTTATCTATCAACTTTCTCTCTCTCTCTCTCTCGCCGGCGACATGAAGTTCCGATCATGGCTATCAACATGCTCCTCCGCCACCTCCTACGATCCCACACCACCACCACCACCACCACCAAAACCTCTATTCTTCGACACAAGTAGCAGCTCAGACATCCCTGAAAGCTTATCATCCACCTCCCATGACACCAGCTACAGCAGCAGCAGTCTCCAAAACAACCTTTCTCTCCAAACCCTCCCTTCTGTTCCTTCCCTCCAAACCCTAACCCTCTCCCTCGCCTCCCACCACCACTACCACCGCCTAGAGTCTTCACCGTACACCAGAACTGTAAGATCCGAGTTTGGAAATTAACAAACAATAATAAGAATCACAGACTCGTCGCCACTCTCCCCACCGTCAACGATCGCTTACTCCGATTCGCTTTTCCGGCGAACTACGTGAAGGTTCGCCGTCACAGGAAGTGGCTCTGGATCGAACACCACGACGCGGTTTCTGGACTCGAAGTTATCGACGGTTTGAATTTGATGTGTTCGGTTTCGTGGGACAAATGTTTGAAGATTTGGAGAGTCTCCGATCTTCGATGTGTACAATCGATTAAAGCTCACGACGACGCCATTAACGCCGTCGCGGTGGCGATCGACGGCACGATTTACACCGCCTCCGCCGACCGCCGGATTAAAGTTTGGGGACGAGCGTCTGGAGAGAGAAAGTACGGATTGATAGCGAGTTTAGAGAAGCATAAATCGGCGGTGAATTCTCTGGCATTGAACGGTGACGGAACGGTTTTGTTTTCCGGAGCGTGTGATCGTTCGATTCTGGTGTGGGAGAGAGAGGGAAATTCCTCACTAAAACGACGTCGTTTTGGTGAGGAGTATTCTGAGCCGTCCGATCATCCACTTTAGGAGATCACTCTAGAGGGTTACTCTAGAGGATCCGCACTCAATTTCTTAACTCACACACCTCTCTACCACTATTTCCATTGGCCATTATCACTGCCACTACTGCCAACACCATCACTCATTGCCACCTCCAACCCCTTTGTCTCACCCTGTCACCCTTGTTATTTTCCTCTTCTTTTTTCTAAATCCGAAAACACATCTATTCTCTCTCTCTGTCTCTCTGTCTCTCTGTTATGATGGGAGATGAGAAGAAGGTTGCAGCGGCAGAAAGGGGTCATAGCAGATGAAGGGGTCTAAGAGGGAGGTTGCAGTGATCTAAGAACTTAGGAGGAGAATCATGGTAGGAAAAGGAGGTTGGAAAATGATGAATGGTTGGGAAGGTGCTCACGATAGGGAAAGGAGACCAAAATAGGGTAGTGGTACACTGGTAGTAGATAGAGTAGCTAAGGGGGAACAGTGAGGGAGATTGTAGTAGGCGAGGGGGATCGACAATAGGGGAAGGGCTGGGAGTTGATGGTCCAGAGTAACATTAGTGGCTACTAGAAGGGTGGAGGTAGAGTTAGAATTTGAAAGGTTAGGGTGCAAAGATGATGGCATGTTTGATATTCTGGTGAGTGTAATGATAGAAAATCAAAAATTTGAATTTTCGTCTATATTGTAAGTAAAAATTGAGTGTAATGAGTTTTTTTGTTGTGTAAATAGAATCATCCATATTGAAGGCATGAGAATCTTATTACTAGTAATAAATTTGTAGATAAATTATAAATACACCCCATGTGATTTATTTAAAATATATCACTTTGCGGTTTGAAAAATTATAAATATTTCTTTGTAATAATTTTTTATTTAACAGAATTAATAAAAAAATTTCTAACTACTCTTCTACATAATAATAAAATTAGCTGAATTATTAATTAAAATATATTTCTGACATCATTAAAAACTGTTAATTAATTTGATGATTTATTGATAAAAGGGACTATTTGTTATAAAATTTAAAATTTCAAGGAGCGAGATGTAATTTTTAAAATCACAGGGGACAATTCTTATTTTAATAAAATCTCAGGTGGTGTATTTATAATTTATCCTAATTTTTTTGTAATAATGTTATTAAAGTATTTATTTAATTAGGAATCTTCAATGAAAATTAATAAAATTGTAAATATTGCAAGCTCAAGTATTATTATTATTTGGGGGAATTATCCCTCAGTGATAGACAGAAAAATTATTTATAAAAAAATGGTAAATATCATAAATTAATAATTAAAAGCATAAGCTTTTTGACTAATGTGTAATAATTTTTTAAAATATCACCTGAATGATAATTTCTCCTTATTATTATTTTTTAAAAAGTTAATATATTCCAAGAATGTGAGATGGAAGCCCTTGCAGCTTCTTTCTCAAGTAAAGAAGGATTCTGTCATTAATGAGGAAATATTAATACATATACGAGCAAACATACGAATCGGTAGATTCCGGAGGGGAAATTTTACCATATATAAAAGTGGCTTTTATATATGATACATAAGAATATATGGACCATTAGATTTAGATAAGATGGATGCTAATTATTGGATGAATAGATAGTAAAATTAAGGAGAAGAAGTAAGGTGGTTTTCTAAAAAGTAGAGTAGTTTTAGTTAATTTTGAAATTTAAAAAAACTGTTAGGTTTTTGTTATTGGCAATCCCTTTTAACAAAACTACTTTCAGTTGTAATTTTATTGATCTTTTATTTAAGTGAGACCATGAGTATTTAGATGCGAATCTAACCTAAATTTTGTCCTGCAGAGGTGTTTGTGATCGTAATTTTTTTATTTTTGCCACTTTGCTGACTATGTTGGGGATCAAGCGGAGATCGCGAACTTTCAGAACTTTCACTCACCTACAAAAGTACTGGGAGTTGTTTTTTCTGCGCTCGAGCGTTAGTCCGCTTGAGCGGCCATTCTTATTCTCGAGCAAAAATTGCGGATTTGTTTTCTATAAATATGTGTTTTAGTCCGATTTTAGGGTACAACTTCCAGATTTTCTTCTTGGATATTAGGGTTTTTATCTGGAGTTTCTTTGCTTATTTCCTTTGATATTTGTGGGAGATTAATCATGAGTTGAGTGGATTATATCAAAGTGTTTTTTTAGTTTGTTTTATTAAAAAAAGATAAAGTTATTTTTTTGTGGATTCCGTGGAATTTGAGCTTGAAGCTTTGGTGAAGTTCGAAGTGGTTCATCGTCGTGGATTTGGCATCAGTGTTGTGGATTCAACGTTGGGCAAGACAATTTCGAGGTGAAGACGGTGGTGGAAGAGGCACATTGGGGTCGGTTTGATTCTGGCGTGGATTCGTTAGGTAATTGAGAGTACACTTGTGTAATTCCTTTATGTCTTGTTAGTGGATTGTTTTGAGGCTTTTGTCCGTGGTTTATCATCACAATTGGAGGAACTCCAGTTGTGATTTTTTCACGTAAAATCATTGTGTCGATTTATCTTTGATTGTTTGATTGAGATTGCTATTTACTAGTTAAAATTGATACACAATCACAAATCAATATCTCCGGAATTTTAGATATTTCAATGATGCTAACTTACCATTTACTACAAATATACTTACGATTTGTTGTTCACTCATTTACTATTTATTATAAATAAGCTTACTATTTAAAATATTAAAAAGGCTTGGGACCCCTAAAGTTGAGGACCCCATTACCCCTAAAATGATGTGGACCAATAATGTGTTGTTGTTTTTTTATTTTTTTTTCTTTCATTCTTGAACCAATCACAAGTGAGTGGGGGTTGTGCTTTTTGGGAGTCAACATTGTTGTAAAATATTACTTGCTAAACAGGCCACCTTTATTTTTTTAAAATTGTTCCCTTTTTTTTCATTTTAAATTAATTTTAAATACATAAAACTAGTGATATTTAATTATTTTTCCTCTATATTTTGTCTTGTTATGATTTGTAGAAAGTAAATTATGATATGTAAATATTAATTTATTAAAATTTGTTCAAATTTACTATTTTTTTAAAAATAGTCATTATTATGAAAATTGATTTTTGATATAATATTAAAAATAAATAAAAAAGAAAAAAATTATAAAAAAATGTTTTTGAATTATAAGCTATCTAAATTTATTTTTAAGAACATTAATTTAAAATATTTACTTTTTATTTATTTATTTTATTATTATTTTTTTATACCTACAACTCAAAAAATATTTTAAAAACTTTTGTGCATTCATAATTTTGTTTTATCAATTTAATATCCATAATGAAATATTTTTTTTCTTCGTAATATTTTTTAATATCTAAAATATTGTAAAGCATAAATTGAGAATAAAATAGCTTAGAAAGAACTCGCATTTGTTAATATATTTTAATGGTTATAAATGAATACATGTACGATAATTTCTTTCTTTTACCTACTACACTCGAAAACATTAATTTCTATATAAGAATATAGTTAATTAGAAAAATATAGAAGAACTCTCAATTCATTCGCATACATAATGAACAAGATTGTGTTTTTTTTTTCTTCATATTTTTTCACAAACAATAAGTGAAAGAGGGTGATTTAGATTTTACAAATTTAAGATAATTTCAAATTAATAATTTATCTATGTCTCTATCTCTCTTTTATTTTAACATTATGTGATATTTTTAATTTATAAATTTTAATTTTTTGTTGGAAAATCATTTCACTAAGTTAAAGAAAAAGTGGAGTTTTAAAATTTTAAGTCAAGTTTAACAAAATAATAAGTATAATTTTATTGATTAGTAACTTAAGTCGATTGAAGTGGTATCTTATTGATTAACAAGTTATGTTTAATTAAATTGTCACGCCCCGAAATAATTACAATAAGATCATCTCATGACATATATTAAAATAATAACAGATCCTTGGATATGATGCCCTTGCCTTCATAAGATTTTGTCTCTTTACAAAAACATAGCACATGTAGTAATACATTCATAAGTTCTAACCCTAAATCTGTAGCATGTGTCATGGAAAAAGATAAGAAATAAGAGTTAAACAGATATAATAATGCCCTATTATTGGCTACAACTTTCCAAGACGGTACTTGGTTATAACAAAAGTGAGTTTAAACTCAATACAAATAAAGCTCTAGGCTTGTATAAAATAAATATAACAATACCAAAAATAGAAGCTCTCGGCTCCAAGTCCTCCTAAGTTATTGTCTTGGCAGATGCATATCATCAGCACCTAAAATGGTTTTTCACATAGGGTGAGCCAAAGCCTAGTAAAGATATTCTAACATAGTGTATGAATCTTAATAGAGTTATAAGGTGAATGCATATGCAATGCTCATGCCAAAACTTTTTTACATCACTTTCCAAAAACCATGTAATGCTAGGTTATATCATAATACATTACAACAGAAAACAAGGTGGTGGATACAATACTAGAAATCTCTAGAACGTGTCTACAAGTAGGCTATAAGCACTACCAATTTGTCTTTTTTATCAGTATTGACAGGAAGGCTCGACATCTAACCGCGTGGGTTTCTTGACTTTCACCAAGGACACACAGGCCAGCATAATACCACAACTACACTCTTACCCAGATTCACTAAAGTATTCACCTATTTTTTTCAAAACAACAATGATTTCAATGTGTTAAATTTGTTATAATGTTCAATGCAAATGGATGAGAAAATAATTTCAATTTACCTAATTCTCATGCAATTTTTGTAACAATCATAGCTATCCTCCACTAATAACCCAAAACAGATATCTCTAAATACATAAATAATTTTCAACACAGATATTCTTTTCAACATTTTCAATTATGAGTGATAATTCATATCTAACTCCATTATCATTATCACCATCATCATTGTTTCAATTCCATAAAACCAACATCAATTCCATTTCTTCTTTTCAAAAATCAAATTCTCACAATTTAGAGTAAAACCCCTTTCTTTAAAAATCAATCTCCATGGTAAAAACCCATCATTTAGCATAACCCAACCATTTTTACAAAGCCACAACCATAAACAAGAGTCCATTTTGAAAACCCCTCTTTTAATTTCAAAACCAAACCTTAGGTTTTATCCAAAAATCACTATCTTATTTAGAAAGGCAAATAATAAAGTTAAAAATCATAAAAAGGGTCAAAGTAATCCTTACCTCAAAAACAAGGACAAAGAAGAACAAGCGTTGAAACTTGACGAAGCCAAAAATGAAATTTGCTTCGATCAAAATGAAGTCCTCAACTTGCTCTACCTTTTTAACAAGGGCTCTTGGGTGAGGAAATCATTAGATAGAGGTGTATTTAGGCCAAATATTGAAGAACTAGAGAGAGAGAGAGAGAGAGAGAGAGAGAGAGAGAAGATCTGAGATTTAGAGAGGGAGAGGAGCGAAAAAGTGATAAAAAAGTGATCTTTACAACCTGATATACCAACAGACCGCTCAAGCGCAGGAATGGTCGCTCGAACGACCAGACTAAATGAAGACATTGCTCGAGTGCAATAATGGTCACTCGAGCACAAGAAGCGTCACTTGAGCATGGATATCAAGCTCTCAATAATTTGCAGACTATAAAAGACTGCTCAAGCATAAGAAGCATCACTCGAGCAAACAAGCAAAATCCTGGGCAAAATTTCTTTTGAAAAACAAGCTACCAACCTATTCCAAACACGACAATGATACTCCAATAGCCAAACTCAATGAAGTACAAGATGAATAAGGACATGAACAGTGATACAAACTAAGATATCCTAAATCCAAAACAATAGAAGGGTCGAGTTTAAACTGGAATCGTTATAAGTAGAGCATGATTAAGTAGTAAGTGAAGTGTAATGAAGTAGCAAGTGTTCACTATACTCCACTTACTACTCAATGAACTTCCACTTACTATTCCACTAGACTTTACTTACTACTCAATAAGATTCTACTTACTATTTCATTACAGTTCACTTACTACTCAATTTTGATTTCACTTACATTAGACTCCACTTACTACTCAATGAGTTTCCACTTACAATTTCATTACACTTGACTTACTGCTCAATTTTGATTTCACTTACTACTCAATGAGCTTTCACTTGCTACTTTAGTAGACTCTACTTACTATTCAGTTGTCACGACCCAAACTAGCTCCTATAGGTTTAGCATCGTAATCGGCCAATAATCCTGGGATTACCGAAGGCCTCTGAATAGATTAAACAAAATTAGAGGGGCTAGCAGAAGCAAATATCAATTAAAATGTCCATAGAGCTGTGTAGACATACATAGGACAAAAAATTTAAAACTTATATACATATGTGTAACATCATATTTACGTTAGTCTTATGTCACCAACACAGATATAGTCAAAGGGACTTAGCCCTAAATATAGAGTATACAAAAACTATTCAAACAAACAGAAGAAAACAAAAACTTAAAAGTTGTTTGCAGAAATATGACCACACTTTAACTCGGGAACCTCCTCGAAAGGCGTTGTGATTGGCTGACAAAACAGATCTCCAGGAAATCATCATTGAGCTTGGTCACGCACCTGATCACCTACATATATGAATAATACAGTGAGCTGGAGCCCAGTGAATAATAATAGAGTAAAGATTTTAATGAACGATGCCTATAGCAGATTTAGAAATCAGGGTTCAGAGTCAAAAATAGATTCATATTCATATTCATATTTAGAGTTCATAGATATTCATATGTGGTACATCCATTAGCGCTAATAGAACAATTGACCCATTTATATGGGATGTAAACAGTTGACGCATGTGCACAGAGACGTTCATAAGGATCCATAACAATTGACCCATGATCACATGGGACGTATAGTTGACTCATGATTACATGAGACGTATACATCGTAGGTAATAGATATCACATGATGCTAAGGATGCCACGAATATATTTCAGAAATCTGGACAATCACTCAACCATTCAGAAAATAGCATTTCAGAAAATAGATCATTTCATACCATCAGAAAATAATTAAAGTCAAGCATAGCTTTACAGTGTTATTACTCATATAGATAGCTCCAGTAGCAGAACATGCAGAACAGATGGATCAGACTGTCTATGGCGTATGATCTACACAAACACATAGTGGATACACATTAAAACACGCTCAGAAAACATTTAACTCATTTCTTTTCTATCTTGATGTGTTTCTAATCCTTATCCTCCTTATTATATCTTAATTAAGGCTTAGGAATGCCTAAGATGCAATGAGGATGCAAAAATACACTTTGAAACACGTAGTCAAAATTCTGAAAATAGGGTAATTCGCTCGAGCACAACTTTAGTCCTTCGAGCAGACCCCTTGGACTGCAAAACTTTTGGAAGCTCTCATTTTACGTTCGAGCTCAACTTTGGTCACTTGAGCTAAGGTTCAAAACAAAGGGTGATCGCTCGATCTCAAGTTTTGCCCCTCGAGCCAACCCCTAAACTCTGCAAAAGTATTGGAAGCTTGAATTCTTTGCTCGAGCATAACTTCCATCGCTCGTGCGAAGAGTGCAAATTCTTGAATTTCTAGATTGCTCTCTAATTTCCAAAACTCAAACTCAAACTCAAGGCTTCGAAACACATCATTTGGGCCTAAAACTTAAGAAAACATGTCTAAACTAATATAACATCATGAATTGAAAGCCATTTCGCAAAATCAAAGCCCAAAAGCAAGTCAATTGTGCAAAACCAAACTTGAAATGTATATGTATATAACATGCATGCAATGATTTAAATTCAAAGTTTCCAAAACATGCATAAATGAAGTGTTTTGAGGCAAAAACATGGTGAGCTCCCAAGAGATAGCAAGTATATGCACTTGCATGTAAAAATTGAGTGAAAATGAAACTCATAATCAATGAATTATGCATACAAGCATGTATTGAGCTTAAATCCTTCAATCTTAGCTTCATTCTTGCATTAAACCACCTAACTCACTTGAATTCATGCTTTAACTAACTCAATTACAAAATTAAATGCTTAAATTCTTACCTTAGGTGTTCAATTGTGTTCTAGATGCCTAATTCCATGAGCGAGGAGACCAAATTTCCAAAGTTTCTTCCAATGGCTTTCTTTCCTCTCTTGAGTTCAAACTTCTCCTCACTTTCTCTTCTCTCTCATGTTTTTTTGAGCTCAAAATGATGATGAAGAATGAGTTCTAGAAGTTATGTTGGCCTTATATAGGTCCAATTAGCTTAGGCTAGTTAAGTGCGCTTAGCTATAATTAATCTAACTCAATTTAATTTAATTTAATTTAATTTATTCTAATTATTTGATTCCGAATCGAATTCTAATTGAACTCACCATAAAATTCTAAAACTTCTAAATAACACATATACGTAGTCGATTTCATGTTTAGATACTGATAAGGCCTTCAATTCGCATATTGAATTGGAAATTTAGACAGATATTCTTACAATAGACAAATATAAGCACAATCAACATAAAACTCATGCAATTAATATAGAATTTCCTCCTAATTACTTCTTAAGTAGTCTTAATCAAGGGTTATAAGCTAATCACAGGTCGGGGTTGTTACATCAATGATCTTCCAATTACTATTTCATTACACTTCACTTACTACTCAATTTTGATTTCATTTACTACTTTATGAACTTCCACTTACTACTTCAGTAGACTCTATTTATTACTTAATGAGCATTCACTTACTATTTCATTAGACCCCACTAACTACTCATTGAGCTTCCACTTATTACTTCATTATAGTTCACTTACTACTCAATTTTGATTTCACTTGTTACTCAATGAGCTCCCATTTACTAGTTCGCCAGACTGCACTTACTACTTAATGAGGTTTCGCTTATTACTTGAGTAGTAAGTGGAATTTAATTGAGTAGTAAGTAAAATATAATGAAGTAGTAAGTGGAAGCTCATTAAGTAATAAGTACAATTTAATTGAGTAGTAAGTAAAGTCTGATGATAAGTAAAGTCTCATTAACTAATTGTAATATCATTTACCATTTGGTTTGATCTAATTAATTTTATTATACTTACCACAGATGGAAGACAATATTGGGATGATGATGATGATATTGACACTGGTGAGTACAACATTGGTAATGAAGAGAATATCGGTAGTTCCGATGATCTCCAAACTGAAAAAGATATTAAGTGTATAGATCAATTAACTGAAAAAGATGTGTTTGAAATGACATTTGATTCGGTAGAAAATTGAGAAAGTTTATATAATATGTATGCAAAGGTGAAAGGTTTTAGCATTCAAAGAGATTAGTTGTATAAGGATAAGAGTAATATGGTTATATCGAGGAGATTGGTTTGCTCAAAAGAAGGATATTGACAGTACGTATAATTTATTGAGATAATGATTACCATTCAACAACACAATAGTAACTATTCATTATGATTTTACTCACCATATTCATAACAACATAATGGTTTTTCATGAACACATAATTGTTATGATGGCATTGTCACAACCAAAATTAAGTATTAAGTGAAGTGTAATGAAATAGTAAGTAAAAACTCAATGAGTCGTAAGTGGAGTTTAGTGAAGTAATAAGTGGAAGCTCATTGAGTAATAAGTGGAGTATAGTGAAGTAGCAAGTGGAAACTCATTGAGTATTGAGTGAAACCAAAATTGAGTAGTGTAGACAACCCATTTTTGACTGCCCTTAAGACTTGGGCGCCTCAGGTTGATCACTCGATGATGAAAGTTATGCTGTACAAACGTTCGATTTCTTTAGCAATAAGAGATTCAAAATCCCAACCTTACACCCCATTTTTGACCAAAACTATTTTAGACCTTAAAACCCTTTTTTTCAAAATATTTTTCCAAATGTTTCTACGATGCTTCGAGGCTCGCATTTCGTTCAAAATATTGCACTTTTCGGTAAACCGAGCAAGAACAAAGTGGAAATAAATGGAATAGAGGTGAACTCTTTAAAAAATCTTTAAAAACATTTTTTGTAAAGGTTTGGAGTTGAAGAAAGTAGGAGGGGAGGGAAGAAAACTAATTGGGGAAGAAGTTGGGCATCGATCCGTTAGGACTGAAATGAGTAGCCTTCACTAAAATGGGCATATCTCTTTTCACACTTAAAATTTAGATGTGAGGCCACCTCCATTGGAAATTAGACTTTCGGGGCTTCAACTTAGACTAAAAAATGACCTAAAATGGAGTCTGGATGAAGGAGCTATTCCCGTTTGAAGTTGGGTCTGGAAGTAGATTTTTGTCTGGCCGGCCAGTAGTGGCCTGCCGCCCACTATTAGTGGCCTGTTGGCCACTTGTGTAAAAACCCAGATATTTTTGGCCAACTATCTCCACAAGCTCCAATTGTTTTTGCATAGATATTTCTGACCTGAGAGGCTGTTTTTCTATATATACCAGGCCAACCCTCTTGGTTTTAGGTTAGAAAAAATTCCTAAAGTCCCAAAACTTGAAATTCTCTCCCTATCTCTATCTTGAAACACATACACCTTACCCAAACACTTCCTAAACAAATATTAGAGCTCTCCTTGCTGAGATTATTGAGTCCAAATTTCAGCCCTTGAGAGTGTAAGCTTTGTGGTTTATGAACAAAAGAGTTACCTCACTTCAAGAGGTATAATTTTGAGCATCTCTACACTACTTCTGCCTTATGTTTTCTTGCTATTTTTGAACTATTTTTATGGGCTGAAACTTGTGGTTTAAAGCTACCAAAGGTGGAGGGGTTAATCACCCATCATTGAACCTTGTTCTCTAAGCTTTTGCCCTTGTGTTTCCCATTCTTTTCACAAATTTTTTTGAGCTTTTTACCACTAAATTTTAGAGTTTTTGAGAGGCTAAAAATTTTGTTTTGAGGTCCCAAAAATTGAGGGATTAGCCACCTTTCCGTGTGCTTGTTTACTAGCTTACATTCTCCATTATTTTAGCATACTCTTTTAGCTTTTTTTACATCAATTCGAGCACTGTTTTAGTCTAATTTAGGACTGTTTTGAGGTGTTTACTTCATTCATGCTTTGTATAGTATGCTTGTAGTGTAATGGTCCTCATAGGCTTGGTGGTTTAAGTGTTCCTATGATGGCCCGGACCTCCAAACTAGTACATTATATAATTTAAATAAGTTTAATTGCATGATTATGTACTTGATTGTGTGATTACATGTTTAATTCTATAATTATCTGTTGATATATGGAATATCTGTTTAAATTGATAACTTAGAGTCGGAAACTGGGAGCCTAAACGGCTTTAGAAACTGAAATTGACTACCCCAATAGGCAAATTAGAATATTTAGAATTTTATGGCAACTTTAATTGATAGTTGATTTGGTTCAAAATAATTAGAATAAACTGATTGAATTAGTTAGAGTTAAGCCTTATTAATTAATCCTAACTATATTTGATTTGGCCAACTTAATCACATCCTATATAAGACCCAAATTAAGCTTAGGAGCTCATTTTATATGCACACTCAGCTGAGAATTGAGAGAGAGGAGAGGAGAGTTGAACATTTAGAGACGAAAGAGGAGAATTGTAGAGAATTAGTGGAAGATTCAAAGATTGGAGCCATAACACACTTGAACTCAACACTAGGTATGGCATTCATCACTAATTCATTTAGTTATGGCATATAGTAGTTGAATTCCTCTCATTTTTTAACTCATTGGCATGTTATTTAAGAAAGGAAGCTATGAATATCATAAAAATGGAAGAATGGAGTTGAATTGCTTACAAACATGCATATTTTGAGTTAAGCTCCATGAAATTCATACATGCATGGCACAATTATACCTCATTTTGGAGAATCCTTCATGTTTTCATGCTTCTCATGTCGCTTGATCATATTTTGAACATGTTTTCAGGAAATATACACTCGAATTGAGTTAAACTTATTTTATAAATTGAGGTTGGAGTCTTTGGTTGGGAAATTTCCATGATTTTGAATAAATGGGTTCAAATTGGAAGTGTTTTCATGTTATGTAGTGACTCTCCATGTTTTTATACCAAAAACACAAGATTTGAAGTTTTAAGTACCATGTTTGATCTTTAAACACAGTTCTAGAAATTCCAGAATTCGTGCTGTTCGCTCGAGCGAGGGAGTCTACGCTCGAGTATGGAATTCAGGCTCTAAGAAGTTTCTAAAATTTTACAGTCTGCTCGAGCGACCAAAGTGGCGCTTAAGCGATGACCCTTTTTCTCAGTCTTCCGCTCGAACGACCATCGAGCGGGAATTTCATGTATCCAGTACTTTTACAGACCGCTCGAGTGGCAACCTTTGTTTTTGAACCCTCGCTCAAGCATAGGAAGTTGCGCTCGAGCGGAGACCTTGTTTTTTGTAAAATTTTACCAACTCTTTTAAGTGTATATTTGCATCCTCATGCCACTCCAAGCATTCTTAAGCACCATTTGGACTCCGATGATCATACAATAAGTTAGAGACGCATAAAGAGAATTGAATTAAAATGAAATAGAGTTTCATTTGTACTTTGTTATGTGCTTCGTTTAGGTGGACGCCTGAGGCTTAGTGTCACCGCAAACCACTGTGAGTAATAACCTTATAAAGATATGTTCAAATTATCTTTACTTTCGAAAATGTTATTACTATAAAAATGGATATAGCATGGCTTAAATGATTTGATAATTGATAGCATGGCTTATTGAAATGTTATGTCCTTTAATGAATAGAGTTCTGTTTTGAAACGATATTGTGGCATCCACTGAATATAGGCCCTTGCCGGGGGGTAACAATACCATGGCTAGGCCCTTGCCTGGGGGTAATAATACCATGGCTAGGCCCTTGCTTGGGGGTAACAGAACGATGGCTAGTATGATACGTTATCATTGGAATAATATTCGTCACTTCATGGATGTACCACATATAATGTTACGAATGGTTTTGTCACTACAAAGAGACACTATTATTGCTAATCAAATGTTTCGTTGAGAATTTGATCTATTATGGCGAATATCTCCCTTTGAAAATGATTTAAGATTCATTTCGAAATTGTAAGACATGTTTTTGTACTATTGTCGAACTTCATTCGTTTAACCTCTTTATTCTGTTATTACTCATTAGGCTCTAGCTCACTATTTATTTATACATGTAATTGTAGGTGGGCAAACTGAGCAACAGAGTTAGATAGCCTCGAGTTTACCCGGGTCAGCCCTTTGAGGAGCTTCTAAGTGAAGTAATCAGGCTTGGATGGAGCCATGCTTGTCGAACCCCTTTTGTGTGGTTTAATGGTTTTGTATTTGTACATAGTTGGGGTTGTATTTTGTAAGACATGAATTTGTACTTACGTTGGGTGTAACTTGAATCAAAACCTTGCTTAACATACTTGCTCTCTTCATATATGCACGGCTCAATGGATGAATTCTATAACATTTTAGACTTCCGCTAAGCCCTGTACTTTATATTAAAGGTTTATTTATATGGAGGCCGTAGGCAATCTGTGATTGCTGGCCGGTCATGACGCTAAACCTATAGAGGCGGGTTTGGGTGGTGACAGAGTGGTATCAGAGCACGAGTTATATCTCACTCACTTGTCCGTTGAGCTATAGAGGGTCTAGAAGAGGCTTTAGGAATACATTCATGTACATTTGATATGTTGTGATTATACATGCAACTGCGTACATGACTATATGTATATATATAAATTGTGTTCGTTATAATACAAAGTTTCATATAGAAAATGGTGAGAACCAGAGGTGATGAAATAGAGGAGGCAACCTCCTCAAGACTGGATAGAATGGAACGAATGATGCAATACATGGTTAAATCCATAAGACAACAACAACAATGGCAACAACAATAACAACAACCACCTCCCCCACCTCCAATGCCTGTACCACCTCCAGCTGTAGGGTGTCAGTCGGAGACCTGTACTATTGCCTTGACCAGGGAATTTAAAAAGATGAAGCCACCAGTATTTCATGGAAGAATTGAACCGTTGAAGACCGAAGCTTGGTTCTTGGGCATTGAAAAGTTGTTTGAAGTATTCCCATGTACCAAAATTCAGAAAGTGTAACTAGTAGCATTCACCCTAGAGGATGATTCCAGACATTGGTGGATGTTAATGCAAAATGATAATAAAGATGTTACTTGGGCTCATTTTCTAGAAATTTTCCATGAGAAATATTTTCCCCAATGTGTGCGGGATAGAAAGGCAGCTGAATTCATGGAACTCAAGCAGGGAAATAAATCAATCACTGAATATGAGGCTCATTTTACAGAATTAGCTCGCTTTGCACCCCACATGGTAAACACAGATTACAAGAAGGCTAAACAGTTCGAAGGAGGTTTACGTGACCCAATTCTAGATAAGGTTAATGTACTCAAATTGCCGACGTATGTGGATGTACTTGATAGGACACTAGTAGCGGAGAGAAATGTGGCCAGTCGTAAACAAAACTTCGAATGGAAAGGTAGAAAAAAAAAAATTTAGTAAGGGAACTACGTCAACGAACAAGAAGTTTAAGTCGGGGAATTCTGGAAATATTGGTTCAAGCCAAAGTGGTAATTCAACACCAGCTTGTACTACATGTGGAAAGAAACATAGAGGTGTATGCTATCATGTGACAGGGGCTTGTTATCATTGTGGGAAGTTCGGGTATATTGCCAAGGATTGTACACAACCACGTTAGGATGGCAACCGAGGTGCCACAAGCTCAATTGGGTCAACTCCCACAACGAAACTAGCTGCAGCATCACCCACCACAAGAAATGATCAAAGGCAAGGAAGGGTTTTTGCATTGATTTCGGGGGATACTTAGAATACCGAGGCCGTGGTATCAGATACTTAGAATACCTGTTTGACCAGTTGCAGGGGGCACAGATATTTTCAAAAATTGATTTGAGATCAGGATATCAACAATTGAAGGTTAAGGCTGAGGATGTTGAAAAGACTGCCTTCCGAACTAGGTATGGACATTATGAGTTTTCAGTCATGCCATTTGGGGTTACAAATGTGCCTGCAGCATTTATGGATTTAATGAACAAAATTTTCAAACCTTTCCTAGATGACTTTGTTGTTGTATTCATTGATGACATTTTGATCTATTCGAAAAGTAAAGATGAGCATGAACGACATTTGAAATTGACTCTTCAAACAATTAGAGAAAGACAGTTGTATGGGAAATTCAAAAAGTGTGAATTTTGGCTTGATGAAATTGCATTTTTGGGGTACATTATTAATAAGGATGGTATATCTATGGATCCTCATAAAATTGAAGCTATTATTAATTGGCATACCCCAACTAATGTATCAGAAGTTCGTAGTTTTATGGGAATGGCAGGGTATTACCGAAGATTCGTCAGAGACTTTTCCAAAATTGTGGTGCCATTGACTTAGCTGACTCGAAAAAGGGAACCATTTGAGTGGACGGATTAGAGAGAAACAACCTTTCAAGAGTTGAAGACAAGACTAACTACAGCCCCAATCCTTACTATTCCTCAGGTGCTGAAAATTTTGTGATTTTTAGTGATGCATCCTATAAGGGTATGGGTTGTGTTTTAATGCAGAATGGCAGGGTTATTGCATATACCTCTCGACAATTGAGACCACATGAAAGAACTACCCTACACACGACCTAGAACTTGCTGCAGTGGTGTTTGCATTGAAGATATGGCGTCACTATTTGTATGGAGCCAAATGTGAAGTGTATACAGATCATAAGAGCCTGAAATACCTCTTTACTCAGAAGGAATTGAACATGCGTCAAAGACGATGGCTCGAGATAATCAAGGATTATCACTTACAGATTCACTATCATCCGGGCAAAGCCAATACTGTAGTAGATGCACTTAGTAGAAAGAATGTGGGGAATCTTGCCTGGTTACTCACAGATCAAAGAGAGCTACTATTGGAGTTTGAAAAACTCGAAATTGAAGTAGTGCCTTTTGAACAAAGTAGCTTGATGGCTGCAATGTCTGCCCAACCTGCTATTATCGAGGAAATTAAACAGAAATAGATGAATGATGAGTTTTTGAAAAAGCTTCGTGATGAACTTGACACCAAACCTAGACCGGCGTTTATAATTGAAGACTCTGTATTGAAATATCAGGGAAAGTTGTGTGTCCCGAATGATGCGGCTTTGAAAAGGAAAATTTTGGAGGAAGCTCACAAGTCAATGCTTACTATGCATCCAGGAAACACCAAAATGTACCAAGACTTGAAGTCAGTGTATTGGTGGTCCAACATGAAGAGGGAGATTACCGACTTCAACTCTAAATGCTTACAATGCCAGCAAGTAAAAGCGGAACATCAGAAACCAGTGGGTCTGCTTCAGTCTCTTTCTATTCCAGAATGGAAATGAGAACATATCACCATGGACTTTGTTATTGGCCTACCTCGGACACCTAGAGGTATGGACTCTATTTGGGTTAGAGTTGATAGATTGACTAAATCAGCTCACTTTCTTGCTGTAAAGACTTCATTTACTGCTTATAGACTTGTTACTATCTACATTGATGAGATTATTCGACTGCATGGGGTTCCAGTGTCTATTGTATCAGATAGGGATTCTAAATTTGTTTCTAGATTTTGGCATAGTTTGTAGGAGGCAATGGGAACAAAATTGAGATTTAGTATAGCATTTTATCCACAAACCAATGGGCAAACTGAGAGAACTATTAAGACCTTAGAAGACATGCTTCGTATGTGTATATTGGATTTTCAAGGAAGTTGGGAAACTTATTTGCCATTGGCTGAATTTGTTTATAATAACAGTTTTCACACGAGTATCAGTATGGCACCATATGAGGCACTGTATGGTAGAAAGTGTAGATCTCCAGTTTGTTGGACAGAGGTTGGTGATAGAGCTATTTATGGGGCTGAACTTGTGCAAGAAACAACTGAGAAGATCAATATCATCCAGCAAAGGATTAAAACTGCACAGAGTCGGCAGAAAAGCTACGCCGATCAACGAAGAAGGGACTTAGAGTACGAGGTGGGAGATCATGTATTCATCAAGGTGACCCCAATGAAGGGGCATATGAGATTTGGTAAAAAGGGAAAATTGACTCCTCGCTACATTGGGTCGCTTCAGATCCTTGAGAGGTTGGGTCCTGTTGCTTATTGTATTGCCTTGCCGCTGGGGACAGAACAAATGCATAATGTTTTCCATGTATCCATGCTTCGTGGTTATCTTAAAGATCTGTTCCATGTGGTTGATTACCACCGGATTGCTTTGGATGAGGATATGATGAAAAACGTGGCAAAATCCACAAGGAGTCAACTTCAGGTCTTGGGTAATCCAAAAATGAAAAGAGAATCTTGAGAGAGAGTTTCAGAGGGAGGGGAGATGTGTATCAGATGTGCGTGTGTGAAGAAATAAGCCCTAACTTCTTTTAAAGCCAATCGGCTCGCCTAACCCGTTACTGCCTCGGTATCACAGAAATTGGTTGGCTAGTACTTTTTTAGCCAATTGGCTAAGTTTTGTGCCGTGTGGAAATTTTGTTGGCCGGCTTGCACTTCTTTTGGCTGGGTGGTCCATTTGTTAGCCGGGTGTTTCCTCTTTTGTCCAGGTTAGTCATATTTTGGCAGGGTCGGTCACTTTTTGACCGTGGGGATCATGTTTTGGCTGGTTAGCTCGTAATTTGGCTAGATTGGTCTATTTTTGTAAGGAAATTTCAAAGATTAGCTGGGTTAGTCATATTTTGTACGGTTGGACTCGAGTGATGAGACCAAGTTCTCTTATTTTCATATGACAACGATCAAGTTGCATGCCCAACTCGTCCTCGTTTTTGGAAACTTGACGATGGCACTCAGAATGTGTGCTTTGGTCTTTCAACTTTGGTTTCTTATTGGGTTAAAACCTTCCCTTTTCTCATCTAAAATATGGTTAGGTACGCCTGTTGGTTACACCACCATTTCCTCCTCGTGCATGAAACGCGTTTGAATCTCAAGTTGGATCCAAAGTTCACAATTCCTCCTCTCATTGCGACGTGTACTATCACTGATTATGCGAAAGTGTGTAAGTCCAACTTTTAACTAGTTGTGCGGCAGCACATAAGTCCAACTTTCAACTAGCTATGCAATAGCGCATAAGTCTAACTTTCGACTGGCTGTACGATAGCGTGTAAGTCTAACTTTCAACTAGCTATGCGGAAGCGCCTAAGTCAAACTATTATCGGCTATGCGGAAGCGCGTAAGTCCAACTTTCAACCGGCTGTACGGTAGTGCGTAAGTCTAACTTTTAACTGGTTGTGCGGTAGTGCGTAAGTCCAACTATCATCGGATGCACAGAAGCACATAAGTCCAACTCTCAACCAGCTGTGCGCGTAAGTCCAACTTTCAACTGGTTGTGTGGTAGCGCGTAAGTCCAACTTTCAACCGGCAGTACGGAAGCACGTAAGTCTAACTTTTAACCGGCTATGTGGCAGTGTGTAAGTCCAACTTTTAACAAGCTGTACGGAAGCGTGTAAGTCCAACTGTCATTGGATGTGCTGAGGCGCGTAAGTTCAACTTTCAACCAGTTGTGTGGAAGTACATAAGTCCAACTTTTAACCTGTTGTGCGGAAACGTGTAAGTCCAAATATCACTGGCTATGCGAAAACACGTAAGTTCAACTTTCAACTGGCTATGTTGTAATGCGTAAGTCCAACTTTTAACAGGCTATGTGATAATGCGTAAGTCCAACTATCATCGGCTGTGTGGAAGTGCATAAGTCCAACTTTGAATCGGCTATGAGGAAGAACATAAGTCCAACTTTCAATTACATTTTGAGCATATTATTTGCATGAGGTTTTCCTTGCATAGTGCCATCTTTACATCTTTATCATCATTGCATTGTGTTGTATTACATCAATCATGAGTTTTCAAAACAAGAATCAGCTTCACGAAGCATGTAAGGCCAACTTTCAATTGCATTACAAGCACATCATTTGCATTCTGCCCCCGAACTATGCTGGTTTGATTCCTTGGAAAGGGATATGTAGGCAACCCTCGGGTTCTACCAACTATAGTTGCGTCTTGTTTCTTTGATCTTACGACCTTATCAAAAGGGCCATCTTCAGGGTTTGACATTCACTCATGTCATGAAATGACTTTGAGTTCTGTCAAAGAGGGGCAACTGTGGATACCCTGTTTTGATTGGCCTTAAAACTCGAGTGCTTTTTTTTGATTACCTGATGATGAAAACAAGAAGGTATTTCTCAGAACATCCTCAGTAAGAAAGATGGAATTTTTGCCCCATTTCCAACCCTAAGCGTATTTTAGCCGAATATTCAAGCCTTGTTCAAAACTCACTTTTGAAATTTTCTTTCCAGGCTTTGTTCTGAATATTTTCGTAGTTTTCCAAGGCTCACTTTTAAACTTCAAAATGAAACATTTTTTTTTAAAAGAAATTGAGTAAAAAAATGAGTGGAAATAGGAGGAAAGGATGATAATTCAGTGAAAAAATTTTGTTTCGTGCAAACTAGTCAGGCCATGGCCAACTTTTTGGCCGGCCAGCCAAGATTTTGGTTGACTAGCTAAGGTTTTTTGGCCAGCTAGCCAATAAATTGGCCAGCTAGCTAATTTTTTGAAAAACAGGGTAGTTTCAACAGAATTCTTGTTAAAAATGTCTGGAACATGTTATTCCAGATATGTCCTGATGCATGTATACACGAGATACCCACCTCCTCACCCTTCATTATTTTCCTTTCGCCTCCATTATCGAAAGAGCATTTGTCTCTTGCCCTAAAAGGAGCATCCAATGCAACCATTTTTGTCACTCTATCATCCTTGCCTTCCTCCTTGTCCCCTCTCACCTATATACTCATCTCTCATTATCAAGAGAGCTGGCCTCTTCAACAAAGTTCTTCGCCTTTGACATTTTATGGCCTTTGTTTTCAACCTTGTCCTCTGTCACCTTCTCTACTAAGCATTCTTGTATTGCTTATATGAAGGTGATCAGATTGTTAGGAGAGGAGGATTGAAACCAAGAGAACGAGGAAAAAAGAGAAGTTTAAGCTTTGAACCAAAAACTCTCATTTTCAAATATACATTACCATACACTGATATACCATCCTTGAGACACCAAAATCATCCCAAAAACTTTGATATAGCCAAGCCTTAGTAGCCTTGATCAAAAGAGAATGAGTGTTGTTGAAAAGAGAGAAAAAAGAGAGTTGAGAACCTCTCCCACACACTCTGTTAAACACCCAATACCATTCACACAAGAATTTTGAATTTTCAAATTGAGACGTAAAAATACACTTCCAAAACTTGAGGGTGATCAAAAAAAAGTTTGGAAATCAAATCCTTTCATTGGAAGGTGAATTTTGCACACTTTTTCTATCTTCATACATTTTCTTTTGTATTTTGCTCTTATTGTTTTGATTTCATATTATAAATTGTTGCATTCTAACTAGAGGTGGTGAGTTAAGTCACCCACATACCTGTGGTTTGCTCTTTGTTTGATAATACAACAAAACTGAGTTTTGGGCTAGCTTGATTGGTCGATCGACTACCTTTTTGGCCGATCGGTGTAACTCGACTTTTTCGCGCCTCCCTTTTCGGATGTTCGAAATAAGCCCTACAGTTTGGACTCTCGCAGTTTTGAATCTAATCTCACAAGTGCAATGTGAAATTGATAATCACCAAAGAGTCTAGAAAATCTTTTTGGAAAATTGATTTTGAATAAAAAATGCTAAAAAAATAGACTGCTTTTCCAGATACAAAGTTGCCACTTAAATATTTTATTTTTGAAGAAATTTAGGAACCCATGACTCGTGCCAAAGGCCATGTATCTGTCATCCCCAAAGTTGCCTTGGCTTGGGAACTTAGGTACGAGAGGGGAAGGTCATGAATTGAGCACCCCCACTCGCCTGATCAAAAGATCGGCCTCTACTAATCATGATACGAATCTTATTAACATTATATGCTCTTGTTTCGGCTTATTAGGCTAGCATTACTATGTGCTGTGCACACACAAGGTATAGACTAGTTTGCACAAATTGAAATAATTCAATTTCATGTTTGTCTTTCGAAAAGGGTTTGAATTTGCCACTTGACAAAGTGGGCTTAAAGCTTGTGAATTTGCCACTCGACTAAGTCGGCTTAAAATGTACATTCATCGAATCATTCCAATTCAAGCAACAAGCCTCCATACACAGGCATTCAAACAACTTAACAAGTAAGCACTTAGCCTCATGGCAAGCATGTTAGTCGTGGCAGTCATTCACACTCATGCAAATATGCTAAAGCACTAAAACTCACCTAGTACTCCAAGCCAAAATAAATAAAAGAGTTAGAAAAATGCATGATTCCTAACTTATGCAATATGGCTAATGCAACACATACGATATGCAATTAATAGGCTCAGCTACTAATATGACATATGAATCAATGAAATAGTATGCGGTCTAAGCACGTATTCAAAGAAATATTTAAACTAACAATGTAGTTAGAATGATGTGCCAAGCCTCGGTGCATGTAATACAAATGGATGGATGCAAACATGCGATATGCTAATGGAAATGTGATGCCCCTAATCTAACCATTGAAAGCAGATAAATAAAAACAGAAAGGCGTGGGGTTGGAAGACATACACATTATTACAACATTGATTCCCTCGCGAAGGAGGGTTTGAATGAATAAACTAGCTAAGCTAAACTACTTAACTAATTATTACAAAACTTGAATAAATAAACTAGCTATCTAAGCTACAACAATTAAATAATTTAACTAGGCTAAGCTAATTAAATATTTACAACACAAACTAATTTAAGTAATCAATCTAAACTAATTACATAAGTACAAAACAAACTAATTAGCTACAGTTAATTAATTACAACAAATAAATGACTAATTGTTAATTAAACTAATTAACTAGTCCCCAGAAGCGAGGAAGGCCCATGCATGCTTAGTTTCCACCCAAAGAACGTCCACTGTTTGCTCCCGAAAGCCTCTGTTGCATAACCCTTGCACCAGTTTTCCTCTTCCAAACCAACTCTGCTCTGGTTCACGAGCATTCTACTCAAAATTCACTGGTGGCCGACAGGCCAGAAGTGAGCGGTTGTTGGCCACTGCTGAGGGGTTGCCGGCCACTGAAGCCAAGTCCTTCCTTGCTGCAACAGAGGACAAATAGAGTGAAGAGAGGGTATTCTCACAGGTTGTTTGTACTGTGTATCCCTTCTTACCATCAAAACATCTCAAAAGAGTGATACGCTTGGTTCAAAAATCACCAATCAAGCAATTTCATTGCATGATGGCCAAAGAACCAAGGTGTACAAGTTAATGAATGTACAAACAAGACCAAAACCTTCACCCTATCATGCATGATCAAGGGCAATG